TTTCACACCAGCTTAGACATCACATTTAAGCACAGGAGAATCAAGATGTTTTACAATAATTATGTTCTGTTTTTTATTTATAGTAGGTCTCACTTTATGTATATTTTTCTACTGTTATACAACCTCCAATCTCCTGAAATTTACTTACACTTTTACTTTAGTCAAATTCCCTTTGACAAAGTGCACCTAGAAGATCTTATACATAATGAAGAGGGGTCACTCTTGAAAAGCAACGTACATTAGTTTGCTTTTAACTCAATGTTGTCTGAAAGATTTAGATTTGTAGAGTAAAAATCAAAGATGTAGGTTTATTTGCATTAGAACAAGGAAGGGGAATGTAGCTTTGAAGGCTGTGTGCGTTGTACAGTTTCAAGGACTTGCAAAGGACTTTCTTTTATAATAGAAGATTGTGACGTCTTATTAGAAGAGACAAAGTCTCTTGCATATAAAACTTCATAAGCTGTGGAAAATATAGTCAAAATGGCCAGCATTATGAGATACAAATAAATGCATGATTGCTGGTTTCCCTCATCTTTTACAAACAGCAGTGAATGGAAGTAAAGACCAAAATTCTCCAACATGAAGTTTGTAGAAGACATTTTTTCGTGGTGGATCATTAAAGATGATGTTGGACTCACTGTATAGAGACATTTGCAAATACACATGTTAATAGGTTAAATATCCCAATGCAAATAAAACAACATATCAGATACACAAATTAAAAACACGTATTACACAATGCTAAATAAAAATGATAAAATTCACTCAATTATATATTTAGGCTTAATTAGGATACAAATACACTTATCAGCTTTTAAAAGTGAGGACAAAACGCCTCCTTAATCGTTTGTTGTTGACTTCAAAATACCATGTATTCAATCAAACAATGCTTTGGTCCCAATTTCACTCGGCAAATTTGACATGGACAGGTTGCATGACATGCTTAAAAACCATGAACAAAACTTAAGAAGATAAAGAAGACACTATAGACTGCAATATCTATGATAGCATGAAATCCTTAGCTGTGGTAATCAGCGTTCCTGATACTGTGTACAAACTGTGATGATGAAGAAGCAGAAGCAGCGGGAGGCTCGTATGCAGTGAAAAGCAGCAGCGTCTCTACTGCTCTCTTCAGGTCAGCTGTGGTACTACAACTGATTTGCAGCACAGTCTCTGGCGCCATACAGTGGTAAGAAAAAAAATGGAACAAGCGTAGGCTATATAATACACTTTTTACCAGAGGACACAGATAAAACACAACGTTCTATTTTTATTTACTCTTTTCTCCAGCGGGTTTCTCCACTTCCAATGTGATTCCTGCTAAACGGTTGCTTTAACACTAGAGAAAAATCCATCTCTCATCTCAAAAGCAATTCTAGCATTCTCCAAAGACAAAAATAAAAGCAGGGCGATTATTGAAATGTAAAGAGGAGAGGTTCCGTTGAGGTTATTCTGTGTTTTGAGGGCCACTAATGAAACAAATTACAAAAAAAAAAAAAAAAGCTGAAGAGTGTTTAATAAAACCTTTGTTATCAGCTTAAAACAAACAGATCTGACTGTGCATATGAAGTAGGGGATAATGTACAATCATGGTCATTATCGCAAAATACACCCCAACAGGGTCACCAGGTCTTGTATCATCCTGAATATGTTTATTTTGCAAAACTGACAGGTTTACTGTAAATCATGAAATACACACACAGCTATATATCAAAATAAATAACTAATAGACATGAATATTTTTTGAGTGTATTTTTATCATGTGGCAAGAAAGTGTCTAGAGAGAACAGCAGTAAATAGTTGCCTAGTATGCATATTTCGGATGTCATCATTATTAAATATTTGTCCCTTAAATAATTTGTGTAAATATATATATAGTTTATATCATTTTTTAAAGTTATTTTTCATATTGTACTGTTGTTATTGGTTTAAGTCATTGGCAATGCTTCATGGTATTAGTACCTTTGATATGAAGTATAATATCATATGCTAAATAGAAAAAAGACAGTTGCTTGTTTCTCTCTCTCTCTCTGTGTGGAGAAAATAAATAGGAGATGTTCTTCTGGAAACAAGGCCGCTGAAAATATCGTCTGTAACTATACTCCATAAAGGCTTGGTATGTTATAGGTGATTTGTATATTGTAGACATCATTAAGCAATTTGCATTTTAATAGCTGTTTTTGGACTTTTGCATGTAATCATATTTCACCAAAACCAAGCAATCTCTTTTATCATAAAAATTACAGGTAATATGGCTTGTCCTCTGAACACTGACAGTAATCAAAACCATCATTTCCAGAGCAGATTAGCTTCATTTTGAGAAATGATGTCAGGTTCTGTCCCATTTTCCACATTAATATAATAAACCATGGACACATGCAGCAATGCACAGTGTGCTCACATACACATTCATACCACCATCTAGACCTCCATGGCTGTCTCTAATTGCACTAAATGATGCTACAAACGGTGGAAGAGTCATTTCCTCTCACCTCAGTGCTGTCTCTAACACATGAAAGGATCTTCAGGGAGTAAGGTTTCATTATAGTCGTGAAAAGCCTGTATCCAACATTGGTCATATCTTTACTTCCTCTAAAGATCAAAGTCACTGCACTGCTGATGGGTTTGTGGAGCTCATTACATGCTTCACTACATGGATCCACATCTATAAGTCAATCACCTGACTGCATTCTAGTCAGCCGACTCTGCTCTGTCAAGTCCAGGGGCTGCCAGCCTCTCCACGGTCATGGAGCTGAACGCTGAATCGTAATGCTTAAAGGTAATCCAATCAAAATGAGATGGTACACCTTGAGTGGAATTTGTTGTCGTTATTTGTGATAATGAAAGGGGACCAGCATCTCCGGCGAGGAGATAAAAATGCATTTTAGTGCCTTCTTTAACAAGAAGAAAATGGAAGTATTGATCTGTTCTGCCCCTGTGATTTCTTCTGCTGAGTGTTCAAACAGTGATATTTATGCAGGTGGTCCCAAAGACCCACTAGCTGTGCAAGGTTGGAGAGAGAGAGAGAGAGAGGAAAGCAAAAGATGCAAGATAAATTGTCAACTGCTGAAAGAGTAAAGTCTGCCTGACCCTAAAAGGTCAATAATTCTGGAGAAAGGTATCTGTTCACATTTTCTCCCAATTTGTAATCTTAAAAACAAAAAAACTTTGTTTTTAAGTGCCATTAGGGAGGGGTTTACCTGAAATACTGTAGTTGATATTACAATAATACAATAAAAAAAAATAGTCAGAATTGCTGTCCATCCAAAAGTAATGAATTAGTTCACAGTCATGACTCAAAAACTAAGCAGAATTTGTAAATCTGTGTACCTGTCTTTCTACTGAGTTCCTCAAATAAAACTTAAATATATTTTGCAACTAACCTTGGCAAATTCAGTTATTAGGTCAGTGAACAGATTGTAGACAGTCTTTGGGCAGGCTGTCTGAATCTGAGACTAGTGACCATATGACCTTGCCACAGTAATAACAGGCCTATTTGGATAACATCTCTACTATCCTAGATGGTCAATCAGCTGAAATACATGACAGGTAAAAGCTATGATGCAAAACATGTTAGTAGTCACTTTGCAGGACTTCCTGTCAACTTTTTTGATTGATGATGTCCTTTTTGACCACCCACAATACATTCACCTTTGACCTATTAATAATCTCCAGAGTCAATATGCCATATGGTTTTATCATATTTAGAATTCCAACATTGACCTGTGACCTTTTAATTAACTCCGGCTGTCAAAATGACATACGGTTTTAGTATATGTGGAATTAAAATGGTGTATTCCTTAAATTATTTTGATATTGTTTGTACATCATTAGATTTGGCTGATACCTTCTTGCCTCACATGAAAGTAGAGTGACCATGAGATGGAATAAGGCTGGATAGCCGCATGTGGTCAACAGATGCAGGCGGATGTAAAATGACAAAAATGAGCCCGGGGGGTTCAGATTTGGCCTGTTAAGGTTCAAAATCAATCAATCTTCAAATTGCACCCCCAGAGGTCACAGGTCAATGAGAGCATTCCACATATACTGAAATCATGTCACACTGACAGCCAGAGATGATTAAAAGGTCACAGGTCAGCGTTGGAATTCCAAATATGCTAAAACCCTATGGCATATTGACCCCGGATATTATTAAAAGGTCAAAGGTGAATGCAACATGGGTGGTCCAAGGTCAAGGGGTCAAACCCCTCAGGACAAAAGGACAGATGTCATCATCAATCAAAACAAGTTGACAGGAAGTACAGTATAGGGACTACTCACATTTACTTGACAGCAAGACAGCAAAAGAAAAAGGATGGGGTTGGTGCTCATTTGCGGACTAACTGCCCTCTGACAGAGAAATACTAAATTGCATTTCATCTTCTCTTGACTTCAATGAGGCTCACTAAAGATGCCCCGAGCAAAGATAGGGCAGGGTATTCTTGGTATCCTTGTCACCTGATATGCTTGTTTATTAAGCCCCCCAGATACCTTAAACATTCAATTTTGGGACCCTTTGAAATAGTAAAGACTACACTAGTTCCCACACCACACATTTTAAACGCTGGATGGAGTTTGAATAGATTGACACCACATGAAACAATGGAGAATTAATAACTTTTCACATTCCCAGGTTTAAATAGTCACTTTAACTAGTCAGTAAGTGTATAACTTGCAGATTTTGCCCTTTCAAACAAGGTTACACCAAAACCACCCTTTAACTTGTGATATTTTTCATGTTACTGTACCAGCTGTGGCAACACATTAATACGTGTGCTGCAAGTATAACTGTAACAGACCACAAATTATCCAGTATGTTAAGCTACCATTGGGATACATAAAACCAGTCTTTACATAGGTGACCTTTTTAAAATGGCATAAGGAGCAAATGACCAGAGAACAAAAGGCACTTAGATGAGGCATGTAGCCCGATTTAAGGCTGCACTGCAGCAGCAAGTTCAGCATTTAAACTGAAGTGTTCAAAACACCACAAATAAACATTCATATTAAACAATTTATTGCTTCAAAGTTAGATTAAAAAGCACAGCTTTATACCATTTAGCTCTGACATTCCACAGCACGAATGTGCATGGAAGTCCCTTAGCCCTTGACAGATGAGAAGTACCGTCCTGTAGCAGAGGAACTTTGGGATGGTTTGGAATAGCCTGAAGGTGTCTGGCCGTAGGTGGAACTGGACTGACCAGAAAAAATACCTTGTAAAGCTCCTTGGACACTTGAGCCAAGAGATGAAGTCATGGAGTCTGAGGGGTGTTGAACTGAAGCGGACAGACCAGGAGATATTTGGCTATGGATTTGGGAGCCAGAAGCAGCCGGAGCTGAGAGCTTAGAGGGTCGTTGTCCTACACCAAAGAAGCTTGAGATCCTCAGAGGACTAGAGATAGAACTCTGGCTCCCCTGGGCCACAGAATCCACAGAAGGGCTCAGGGCTGGCAGGAAGGAAGATCCACTGGAAGTCTGAGAGCTTTGAGGGGAAGATCTGCTCTGATGTACAGCTGTACCAGAGGCCTGAAATCCTTGGCTCCAAGTAGAGGCTGAAGGCTGCCATTTTTGAGATGCCTCTGAGCCAGTCAAGGAGGATCCACCTGAAGAAGCCCGAGTGTATTGACTGGACACAGAAGGTGCATACTGGTTAGAGGTACCTTGAAACTGGAAAGATGATCCCCCAGTAAAGGTGCTTCCTGTCTGAACAGGAACGGGACTAGAACCTGCCAGCGGAGTTCCAGCCATACTCTGGGAGCTTGATGCATACAGGCCAGAAGAGTTTGGATCACTTGTAGATTGGCTCGAAACATCGAGAGAGGAACCATGTTTGGCATATGCAGAGGGCCCAGGGCTATACTGACTTGAGGTACCTTGAGACAGGCTGGAAAAGCCACTATATTTGCCGCTTCCTTCTTGTTTGGAGGCAAAATGCCCAGGACCTGCTGCAGAGGGAAGTGTAGAGAAGCTACTGGGAGCCTTGGAGCTACTCTGTGATGCCACTGTACCAGAGGTCTGAAAACCTTGTGACCACCTTGAGGAAGTCTGCCATCGAGATGGTTGGCTCTGAGACAATGAGGGTCCACTTGGAGCAGCCTGACTGTACACAAGAACTTCTGCATTCAAGGGCGAAGGGGCATACTGGCTAGAGGTACCTAGCAGCTGCAGAGATGAGCCATCAGTAGAGGTGCTTACTGACTGCACAGGCACATAAGAACTAGAGCCTGCCAGCTGAGTGCCAGCCCTGCTCTGTGAGCTTGATGTATACTTGCTGTAGGTGCGCTGACCACTGGCAGAATGCCTAGAAACGTCAAGCAGGGAGGAACCACGCTTGATATATGCAGGGGACCCAGGACTAAACAGAGTTGAGGCACTTTGAGACTGGCTGGACAAGCCACTATATCTACCACTTCCTTCCTGTTTGGAGGCCAATTGGGTGGGACTTGCTGCTGAGGTAAGAGTCGAGAACTTACTGGGAGCCTTGGAACCTTGAGAGGGAGAACTACTTTGTGATGTCACCGCTCCAGAGGTTTGAAAACCTTGGGACCACTTAGAAGTGGAAGGTTCCCACTGAGATGTCTGGCTCAGAGCAGAGGAAGCACTTGGGGCAGCTTGACCGTACACAGGCACTTTTGAATCCAAAGCAGGTGCATACTGACTAGCGGTACCATGTAGCTGGAGAGAGGATCCATCAGTAGAGGTGCTTACTGACTGCACAGGCACATAAGGACTAGAGCCTGCCAGCTGAGTGCCAGACCTGCTCTGGGAGCTTGATGTATACTTGCTGTAGGTGCTCTGACCACTGGCAGATTGCCTAGAAACATCAAGCAGAGAGAAACCACGCTTAATATATGCAGGGGACCCAGGGCTATTCCGAGTTGAAGCACTTTGAGACATGCTGGACAAGCCACTATATCTACCACTTCCTACCGGTTTGGACGCAAATTGGCTGGGACTTGCTGCTGAGGTAAGGGTAGAGAATTTGCTGGGAGCCTTGGAACCTTGAGAGGGAGAGTCGCTTTGTGATGCCACAGCTCCAGAGGTTTGAAAACCTTGGGACCACTTAGAGGAAGGCTGCCATTGAGATGGTTGGCTCCGAGACAATGAGGGTCCACTTGGAGCCTTACTGTACACAGGCACTTTAACATCCAAAGGAGAAGGTGCATACTGGCTAGAGGTACCTTGCATCTGGAGAGATGAGCCACCACTAAACATGCTTCCTGTCTGCATGGGTGCATGGTGACTAGAGCCTGCCAGCTGAGTGCCAGCTCTGCTCCAGGAGCCAGATGTATACTGGCTGTAAGAGCTTTGTCCAATGGTTGACTGACTAACACCTAGGGGTGAGGCAGCAAGATTGGCATATCCAGATGACCCAGGACTACGCTGACTTGAGGTACTTTGAGACTGCATGGACAAGCCACTATATCTACCACTTCCTTTCTGTTTGGAGGCAAATTGGCTGGGACTTGCTGCTGAGGTAAGGGTATAGAACTTGCTGGGAGACTTAGAACCTTGAGAGGGAGAGCCGCTTTGTGATGCCACAGCTCCAGAGGTTTGAAAACCTTGGGACCATCTAGAAGTGGAAGGTTCCCACAGAGATGTCTGGCTCAGAGCAGAGGATGCACTTGGGGCAGTTTGACTATACACAGGCCCTTTTGAACCCAAAGACACAGGTGCATACTGACTAGAGGTACCTTGAAGCTGGAGGAATGAGCCATCAGTAAAGGTGCTTGACTGCACAGGTGCATGGTGACTAGAGCCTGCCAGCTGAGTGCCAGCCCTGCTCTGGGAGCTTGATGTATACTGGCTATAAGAGCTTTGTCCACTGGTTAACTGACTAACACCTAGGGGTGAGGCAGCAAGCTTGGCATATGCAGAGGACCCAGGACTATGCTGACTTGAGGTACTTTGAGACTGCATGGACAAGCCACTATACCTGCCACTTCCTTCCTGTTTGGAGGCAAATTGGCCAGGACTTACTGCTGAGGTAGATAACCTACTGGGAGCCTTGGAGCCTTGAGATGGAGAGCTCAGAGACAAAGATAAACTACTTTTAGCAGCTTGACTGTACAAAGGCACTTTTGCATCCAAAGAAGCCAGGGCATTCTGGCTGGAGGCATGTTGAGACTGTACAGAAGAGCCATCAGTAGAGCCGAGAGAACCTCCTGCAGAAGACAGTGAAGAGAACCTACTTGGAGACCAAGAACTGCTCTGTGATGTACCAGATCCTTGTGACACTGCCTGAAGTCCTTGGGTCCTTGAGGCTGAAGGCTCCTGAGATAGTCGGCTTTGAGATAGAGAACCACTCCGAGTTGCTTGATAGTACTGACTGGACACAGGCAGTTTTGCACCAAAGGAAAAAGTTTGAGCATGCTGGCTAGTGGCATCTTGAAGCTCGACAGATGAACCATAACGACTACCCTGTCCAGGTACAGGATGATGGGAAGCTGCCAGTTGAGTGCCAACTCCGCTCTCTGAGCTTGGTGTATACTGGCTGTAAGAGCTCTGATCAGTGGTAGACTGGCTAAAATCTAGGGGTGAGGCAGCAAGCTTGGCATACGAGGACCCAGGGGTATCCTGACTTTCAGTACTTGGAGACTGGGTGAACAAACCACTTGCAGAAACAAGCCGGCTGGAACCTCCTGCCAGTTGTGACCCAGAGCTGCCCTGATAAGTAGAAGTAAAGAAACGGCGGGAACTGCTTGAGGACCCTGTGGAAGAGCTACTCTTTGCAGGAAGCAGACTAGAGGTTCCTCCCAACTGAAGGCCAGAGCTGCTCTGAGCACTTGTAGACATGTTTGAGGAGCTTTGATCACCGGTGAGTGGGTCAGAAACATCAAGAGGTGAGAGACCAAGCTTTGACAGGATGGACAAGCCAATGGAACTACCACCTCGGACTGGTGTGGAAGCAAGTTCAGCAGAAACTCTTTGCAGTCCAGAACCATATGGAGAAGACTGGCTATAGGAACCTTGTCCACTAGTTGACTGGTTAAATACATCCTGGGCATTTGGACTGGAGGAACCCTGGAGTTGTAGCAGTGACGAAATGCTGTCCAAGACACTTGGTGCACTTTGGGTATGAGACACAGATCCATAGCTGCTGGAAAAGCCTCCTTTTACATACTGACGTGAAAGGGAAAATAGAGGCCTGCTGGCATTTGGGTTCTTCCCAGCAAACATATTAGAGGCCACTTCTTCAACAGGAATGCTTCCAGTCACTGGAGCCTCCAACACAGAAGACTGGACTTCACTAGGGGAAAAGAGCTTGTGGACAGACCGATTCTGAGGCTGAACATTCTGAGAAATCCAGCCTAGAGAACATAAGCACAATGAATAAGAGTATTGACATCTTTAAATATATAAACTACAACTGTTTGTTACCATAATTTAATATTAATCTCATTTTATCAACGTGACACTCACCTTCATATCCAACAGCATGTTTCAAGAAAATCAAGAAAACCAATAAGTGGACCCTAGGGAGAAAGAAAAAGATAACATTTGTATAATACATGTAACCGAGAACACTGCAAAATAAAACTTAAAAATGTAACTAACCGCTTCCACCCCTGACCCATAGCAGAAAAAAAGACACTAACAAAACAGCTTTGTTGAGAAGCGAGTCTGCTATTCCAAACAAAAAAAACTACTACAACCAGAACAGCTGCACATCTAAACAGGCATTTGTCTTTTATAAGCCTGTTTGTCCAATCAGCTCACATGTCTAATTACATAAAATACTGTTCACCTGTGAACACTTAGCTGGATATTTGATGACTGAATTTGCCAATTAATTAAATACAATAACCCATCTCATCCATTCGCAGCCATTACACACCCCATAAGGACTGCACCACAAAGCATATTTATGTGGCTACCTGAAAAAAAATAAAAATAAATATATATATCATGTAAGCACACTACAGACATATATTTAGACCACCCTGGCAGACACATTAGAAATGCACATTTGTACACAAAAGTCTTTATTTCATGTGTTTCAACATTGGACTCTTTAAAATATTACCCATTATACTAAGACATTGCAAATCCTTTAAACCAACAGTGCAAATTGATTGAAGGATTTTAACTGAGCTTATACACTATCATAGTAGACCTACATGCATTGTCTATTCTTAAGGTTGAAGAAAATGTCTGCATGTGCATAACTCACAGTACACAAAAGAAAGAAAAAAAAGAAAAACATTGTTTTTTTCTTAACAGTGCCATTGTAGATATACACTATGCACAGGAGTGTCCAATTAATTAATTCCACAATATTAAGTGTCTGACTTAATTTTAAACACTTAAAAACTTTAACTGACTCACTATGTGTAACACTGCTATTTTTGACACCTGGAAACCTACTACTGTTTTTAATACTGATGCTAAGCTAAAGTGAACCTTCACAATCTTTTAGGCAGTGTGATGAAACTCTGTGTACCTGTAGTGCTTATACATGACTATGAACAAGAGGTTGTCATATGTTTCAGTTAACGCATCAGTAAATATTTGAGTGTGCTATTGTGGGGAGATGTGTTGAAATGTTTAAAAGCTTTCCTCAACACAACAATCAGGTTATCATGGGAGCGCTGCAATTATGCAATTGTGTGTGTGTTTGTGTGTGAGGAACATAATGGCCACTCTATGCTCTCGGCTCAAAGCCAGATGTGGTGTGTCTCGACTGCTTATTAATATTTATGGATCTTTAATCACAATAAGAGAGTTCTTCCTGTCCCCAAGAGTTGGGCAGAGTTACTCTGTCTGAAAAGCTCAAGGACCACATTAATTAAAGCGAGTGGACGTGATCGTGAATGATACATCCATCATTCCCATACTTATTAAAGAGGCGCATATCCAGGATAAAAACTCAAATAAAGTCAGCAAAAATTGGCCTAATCTAACAACCTGCAATTAAAAGCAGTCGGATGAGCTCTTTAATGAGGGCAGAGATTCACACAGGATGGTTTTACATGCCAAATCATTGGCTGTGACTGACAGACAAAACAGGATTAAACAGGATTTACATTAAGGCCAAGTTTACATGATATAAACATCTGATCTGAAATAGACTTAAAAGAAAAAAAAAATTAAATATAAAGGAAAATGCACACCGACGCATCACAGAAAACAGTAAAGCATCGCCTACCCAACTAACATACATCTAATCATTGTGTTAAAACAGTAAATTACTTACAATTTAATAAGAAAATACCCATACATATAGATGCATAAGTCTTATATTTTGTCCAATGCAATTTTTATTTAAATTGGTTGCAATGGGATGGACATTCTCATTCTAAAAGTATTTGATTGGGCAAAAATTTGTGGTCACAGCCAGGGGCGCGGGAAGATGTTTTTTTAGTTCACTTACACCAAGTGAAAATAGCAGATTTTCTTAGCGATAGATGTGATTTACACTAAGTGCAAATAGCTATAGACTCTATTTATACTATGTTAAAATACCAGGATATTCTGCTAATTACTTATTGCAAATTTATATTAAAAAAATACATTATAAAACAGTATGCAATAATAACACATTGAGTGTAAATTTTAATTATAATTATAAAATGGATGCCACCTTATTGGGACAAAAGCCCTCCCTACACCTACCGTAACCCTACCCGATACTTTATTTTCAACTTTTTGATTATTTCCTTCATTTTTATTAAAAAATAAATGCTTTTCTGATGTGATTTGAAATTTGAATAGGGAGAAAAAAAGTTAGCCAAAAGGCAAATTCCCGGGTCGATCATCAAAAGTAGTAGGTTATGACACACGCTTTACCATCTACGCCACTGATTCTGATGATTAATGACCATCTTTTGTAATGTTGACTAGCCCAATCACATGTTAGTGGGTGCAGTTAGTGTAAATAGCCTCTGCCAACTAGGCGGGCTATTTGCACTTAGTGTAAATAGACACTCCGATTTATTTATTTTTTATTCCCAACAGTTAAACAGTTGCCCACAGAAAAAAACAGGGGGTGCTGCAGCACCCTCATCACCCCCACTTCCCGCGCCTATGGTCACAGCAGACATATTTAAGACACATCAATACCCGGTGTACATTTTAAATCTTGGTTGACCACTTGTAATCAGATAACCAGAGACGGATGTCAATACCAGGCATGAACAAGATCTAAAATATGTCAGTGCAACAAAATCAGATTAGAACACATTTAGCTTTATTCGATTTACATCATAGGATCAACATTGAATTTGAAAATTAGTAATTTCCTAATAAAATGCTAACTTGGATTTAAGTCTAATTCGAGTCCTCCATTCCTCTGAGGTTAACTGTGCAGGTTACATGCATATCAGCAATGTGATCCACATGTTCTTCAGTGCTGGAGTAGTTTAGTTTTCTCCTTTCAACACAGATGCCAGCTCACCATTCTCCTTCAGCTCCTGTTTAACAATATAAACATTTCCCATCCATTATGAAACACCTTTACAGTTCATCAACTTTTACTAACTTCTTCATGCTATGTGTTTGTGCTATATTTTGTTTTATATTTCTTTAAAATAAATAACAATTGGTTGTATAACTAATGCCATAACCCTAACTCTTAAGATAACTCTCAAATATGTTGTACATTTAGGTTCAGAGATGGTCCTGAGAGCATTGGCTCTCTTCATATTGCCTGTTAGTTGCAGAGCTTCATCTACCCTCTGCTGGAGAAAAACGCCTACTGCAGGACACAGTACATCTCTACAGGCTACTGCAGGACACAGTACATCTCTACAGGCTACTGCAGGACACATTACACTACCATTCAAAAGTCTGGGGTCGGATTTTTTATTGGAAATGAATTAATACTTTCTACATCTCTACAGGCTACTGCAGGACACAGTACATCTCTACAGGCAGATTAAATAACTCTTACACTACCATTCAAAAGTCTGGGGTCGGATTTTTTATTGGAAATGAATTAATACTTTCACTCAGCAAGGATGCATTACATGGATCAAAAATGACAGTAAAACATTTATAATGTTACAAAAGTTTTCTATTTCAAATAAATGTTTTATTAAACTTTCATCAAAGATTCTTGTATCGTGGTTTTCACAGAAATATTAAGCAGCACAACTGTTTTCAGCACTTTTCAACCCTGGCTGCTGAACATTCAGGAATACCAGGAATAAATTGCATTTCAATATATATTCAAATGGGAAACAGTTATTTTTAATTAATATTTAATTAATATTTCACAATATTTATTTTTGATCAAATAAATGCAACCTTGGTGAGTTTCTTTCAAAAAACATTAAAACATATTATTGACCCCAGGTAATATATTTTGCTCTTCAAACCTGTATATACCAAGGAAAGCAATCTGAAAATTTGAAAAATTCTATCACTCTATATCGATTTCATTCCTGAAATCTAGCATTACTTACATTCACTACAACAGAATCATTACAATTGCAGTGCTTTAAATTTTATTACATTTATCTTTATTATCTTAGTAGGGAGAATCAAGTTAAACGCTTTTATGCATTTCACCTTGACTATGTCCAGTCCTCCGATCAGTTCCCCTTTAACGTACAGCTGTGGGTACGTCGGCCAGTTGGAGTATGTCTTGAGTCCTTGTCTAACCTGTGGAGATAATCAAAACTGCACATTTTAGCTAAAAACACAACAGGGACATTTACATAGTAAACAAAATCATATTCTAAACATAACTCTTAAACAGTTCATTCATTATTCAGTTCTCAGTATGTAAGGAGCTCACTAGGTTTTGGAACACAGTCCTTCTTGAAGCTCCTTTGGCAAGACAACATTTACCAAGAATGGAAACAAACTTAAAACTGAAGGAACTCTCACCTCTTCGTCTTCTAATATGTCAAACGTATTGTATTCAACTCTGAAATGTTAATAAAAAAAACATTCGTTATTATAATAACATACATTCAGTCTTTCAGTAACTCATAATTTGTGTTAAGAGCATTATCCAAAAAGAGCTTCCGTCTTAGTTATGTTACGCTGTATGTGTAGATTCTGAATCGTGAAAAGTCTCTCACCTCGCGCTGTTCATTATTTCAAGTATCTGACGGCTGAATCCACATTTGGCAGCCTGAGTATTCACAAAGACATGAGTTAAGAGGGTGAAAACGCTAGAACATCTTTCACATCATGAAAGGCTGGAGTAAAGCAAAAGCCAATCAGGGGAAGCTAGTTTTTAACTCCACCAAAACACATGCAGACTACTGGAGAAGCTCAACAGAGTACTTAAGATGCGAGCGGCTCCTCTGGGCCCAAACCAGCACAGAACCAAACTTTCATTTAGAGACTTACAACTACAACCACCTACAAAGGATATTCTGAAGTGCATCTCAATAACTAGGGGAGAAAGAGGAGGTAATAGAACAAGAGAGACAGAGAGCGAAGCCAGTCAAGACGAGAGAAAAGAGATGTCTCATGAGGAAAGACTTTAAACTACTGCAAAGAATGTCTTTCATGTGTGAGTGTTAAAGATCAATACAGTTATGAGGAGGGAGGTGAGGGGTCTTTCTCGTCCATTAAAGAAAGAGAATGCTGCTCTATCAGTGCCAGAGCCGCCTGACATAGATTTCCAGCACCGGTTTATCCCTGCATGTTTTTGTTTTTTTTTAACTGTAAAGGAAAAGTTCACCCAAAAAAGATCTTTCTGTAATTATTTACTCACCTTTATGTCATTTCAAACCCACATGACTTTTTCTTCTTCATTAGAACACAAAGGAAGACATTTTGCGGAATGTTTTCACAGCACTATTACTTGATGATGGTCTAAAATAATTATATACAAAGTATTTTTCAATACATCTACTATGGAATACAATTCAGTTATTACATTTTCTCTTCAGTGGAACACAAAGGAAGAAATTCAGCAGAATGTTCACAGTATTACTTTAGAACGTTCTAAAAAACATTTTTAAATTACTCTAATAATAATAATAATAATAATAACTGGTGGTATTGTTAACTAAAACTATTAAAACATCTTTGTTAACTGAAGTAAAGTTGAAATAAAATAAAAATATCAGATTCACTTTTTATTATTTTGCCTTGGCAACTAGGTGAAGTACTAGGAACACTAACTACAATAAAACTAAAATTAAAGTAAAATTAAAACTAATATTTTACATTTAAAATGACAAAATCACATAAAATTACTAAATTAAACTAATATTAAAATGAAAACTGAATCTATAAAAATAAAAGCTAATTCAACATATTGAAAAAAACTCTAAAACTGAAATAACACTAAATAATAATTATAATAATAATAGTAGTAGTAGTAATTTATATGATATTGCATATGATCGTTGTATAAATGTTAATTTCTTCAACCTATACTGTTAATTTTGAATGGCTTTCAATGTAGAAAGATGCTTTTTGGCAACTAAATGGTGTGGCATCTACTAACCAGCCCATGCTAACCAGCCATTGGTGAGTCCTAATAGACCAGCTACTTAAATTAAATAAAACTGAGAACCAGCTCCTTGAAATTTGGCCTGTTCTTCACATAAAGCTAACTTGAAATATATATTCTATAGCTTTTTTTCTGTACTTTTGGAGCATGAGCTACATGGTCACTATTAAGTTGTTGTAGGAAAAAGTGCACTGCTACTAAAAAAAAATTAAAAAAAATGAAAGCATATGGGTTTGGAATAACAAGAGCTTGAAAAAACGTAAATATTTTCAAAAAATTTAAAATGTAAAAAATTGAAAGAGTTTTAAATTTTTGGGTGTTTATCCCTTTAACAGCCCCTGCTTTCTCCTCACTCTTTTAAACTGTGTTTCAGGAGAAAGAAAAGGGAGAAAAAGAGAGCATTTAAGTTCACTCACCTCTTTATTGCCTTTCATGAAGAGCATGACGGGTGATTTATTGATTAGAGATTTCAGCCTGTCAGAAAAGAGAATGTTTAAACAAGTCCAGTTGTACAGAAGGGTGCGTTTGAGCAAGCGTGTATCTGTCTTTACCTGCTTTCCAGTGAGACGGTCTTGGGGAAAGTATTCTCGAGTTCACCAGACTCGACCAGCTCCTGTAGAGGATATAACATATCTCTGAATCCGAATCCCTTTCAACTTGACTCACACAGGCACACTCTCCTTTCATAACTAACAGCTCCCTGCTGAGATATTTTACCTCTCTGTAAAGGTAAATTCACTATCTTAATGAGGAAGGGCCTCTAGGACTCCAGAGAGAGGGGAGAGAGGATGGATGCTGGCTAATCCAGCCCTCCTCTCTCAGCAGGAGTGCTCTGCTTGCTTTAAGCAGTATGAGCTCGCTGGGAATGTAGAGCAACTTATAGCTAATAACAGCTAGTCGAGAACACACGCGCCATCAAAAGTCCTGAAACATGAACACTTAAGATAATACGCATGGGATAAAACGCACAACATCAAGCGATGAAGAAATCTGGGTTTGGAAAAATAGGGAACTATCTAAAAAAACACTGCTATGCACTGATTTTCACTGAACGCATTCAATAATGTTAAAGTTTCTTCTCGTATTTCGCCGATGACGGGATTCCTCGTACCTTTACGATGTCCAGTCCTCCGATGAGTTCTCCGTCGACGTACACTTGCGGATAAGTGGGCCAGTTGGAGTAGGTCTTGAGTCCCTGTCTGACCTCTTCATCTGAGAGGATGTCAAAACTGCTGTAGTGTACATTGTGGTCCTTCAAAATCTGAACAGTCTGACGACTAAAACCTGCAACAAATAAACAAAAATGCACTTAAGGTCAAAAGGTTCATTACAGCAGTTCACTCTGCTTAGTTTGTTTGCGTGCTTTTTACTAGCTTGCACTTATTTAAGAGCTTTAAAGAAAGAAACTAAAAATCTTTTATAAAAGCAAATAAACCTATTCATATTTGAATGTCACTACAATGACAAAAGTTGTCATTTATCATTGCATTTTTATTTTTTTTTCAAATCAACTTTGTTTGGTTTGCCTGTGTACATTCTACTAGCTTGCACTTGTTTTAAAGTTTGGAGGAACTAAATTTTTTTTAAAAGCAAAGAAACAAATACATTTATTAATATACATATTTTTATGTCACTATAATGCAGTTAGTAAATTAGTTTTTCTTTTTTTATATATATTTTCCATTTTTATATCAATTAAAGTTTTAGTAATTCTGTTGTGCTTTTGTCCATTTAATTATTTTTATGTCTGTATATTTATTATATGGTTTTTATTAATGTAATTTTTGATATAGTTATTATTATTTTAGTAGTAAATCATATTAAACTAAACTACTATGAGAGATGTTGCCTTGACAACTAGCTGAAATAAAAATTTTTTCAGTTAATGATTTTTTTTATGGCTTTAGTTTAATAACTCTGCTACATTGACAACAAATGTTGATTATTTTTTGCATGTTTTCAGTCACACAGTGAGTAAAATTTCAAGCAATGGTAACTACCCTGCAATCTGCAATCATAATTACCCTTTTGTCCATTTTAGATACTACGCAATATTGGGCAACACAAGCTAAAACACAGAGTTGTAGAATAAAATTTTCTGGATTTCTGAATTTTAAATAGTTCTGTTCATATGAGATGATTACAAGTCAAGAATGAGAGAAGATAACAGAGACAGAGAGCGATATTATATGGGAGGAGACAAAGAGAACAAGCAAGAGAAGCGGTGCAACAAGGAGGAGTGAGCGAGAGAAAGAAAAAAGATCAGGAGAGAAAGATGTGCAAGGTGTTGTGTAGAGTCTGTGTAGCCCCTGCAGTAAAACACCCATTTTCATCTTGTGTGGCTCATGAGGGAATTCATTATAAAACAGCTCCAGGCGCCTCACTTGTGCTTATGCATTTGCTGGTATATTAGCTCGACTCTATCAGAGCAGGCAAACAGGCGGGCATCTGCTTTCTCTGGCTCCGGGCGAACTCCACCAGACATGCTGCATTGATTGCCGAGTTCTTTCCCCCTCTATGCCTGCACCTACAGGGGCCGAAGACCGTTCGCTTTGGCCGACTCCGCTCCAGGAGAGGGGTGATGTTACAGCCTCGTTCCTCTTTTCAAGGACAACCCACTCAGAGCGAGAAAGGCTGAGAGATCTGAATTGATACACGGACCCCCTAACCTTTTAATTTGACATGCATAACTGCTTTAGAGTTAGCGTTAGCCGAACACTTGATCGTTTGGCTCTACGCTCGCATTGGAACGAAAGAGCGTGTTTACGTTTAGAACCCAATGCACGCTACCGACAGGCATGGCTCGCTCTCTGTACATTATTTCTTGATTTGGATATCAGCCAAGAGAATGAGAACATCAATAAGTTTCAACATTATAATATCTCCGAGCCGGACCGACCCACTGACACCTAGTGCGGCTTCAAATAACATCAACGGCACTGAGCAACAGGTTTCGGGCTCAGAGACGAAGCAGTGTAAACACCGAGGATCTACTATTAATAAAGCAGAGCTGGAGGAGCTGGCAGCCGTTGAAAGCCCAACATCACGTTTGAGATTAGAGTTCAATATCGTTTTTATTTTGATCTCAGGATGGCAAACGCCAGCCTTCCCCCAGACCTTCCTCTTTACACAGCCAAAACGTCAAGCGCTAAACTGCGCCTCAGTCCATGACAAAATATGCACTTTGAACTATCAAAAGTATTTTGTTTTGAATGGGTGAAATTAATACGAGGATGTTTTCCAAAGCTCAACCACACATCTTTGACATGAGGACGAAGTGTTTGTAGGAAGAAAAAAGCATGCCAGAAAATCAGTGAATCAAACAGAAATAAGCAAGATCAAGCTGACAGCTTAAAGTTAAACAAACTAAAGACTAAAACCCTATTAAGTGATTAAGCTGTCACTGTGAGGATTTAATGAGTATAACTTTGACTTACAAAAGCAGAATATGTTCCTAATTTAGAGTGACTGCTTATCAACCAACGTTTGATTAACAAAAGTGGTTGTTCACACTTGTGTCAGCTTCTAAATCTACCAGCAGCCTTGACAACAGAATGTCAATTTTAGTTAATTTTAAATAAATATCGATCCTTTTCAGACTGTGATAATGCATTTCCTTATTAAAGGCACGATATGTAAGTTTTCGCCGCTGGAGGGCGCGTCTTCATCCCCACAGCCGATGCAATCCGACGGGACTCGGGCCTTATTGGTCAGCTCAGGGGCATGCGCACCATCCAACCTGTCAATCTTCTCACCACCCTAAGGGTTGTCGGTAAACAAATAAATAAATAAAAAACACTCAGTGTGAGTAGTGATAGATTGAGAGGGAGGAAAAAAACAGCATTAATTTTTTAGGATGCTTGCCAGTTTGTTTAGATTGTTTGCAGGGAGAGAGAGAAAACAGGCCGCAGGCTCTCCTGGTTCTTTGACATGTTACGCCGAGAGAGGGAAAGTCTTGCCAAGCCGTGTGTTTGTTTAACCTCCGATTATTTCTCAGTTGCTTGATTCTAACACGAGGAGATTTTGCAGCTCACATTACTTGATCGTTAAACTCAACCTTCCCAACAGGCTCCGTTTTTCTAACCTCGCCTCCCTCTGCTAAATAAACGCAAAACTCTATCGCAGCCCACCTAACATAAATAAAAGCTGTGTGTACAGAAAAACACAATCTGGTATAGATCAGCATGCTTTACGAAACATAAAGAACGCAGTGTATTAGTGAACTTCATGCTAAATAAAAATGAAAGAAAATGTGAAATTAAAATGGACTCAAATTACTTTCTTAATAAATTTGACTGGTATTAAATGTATTCTGCATAGTTCTTAAGTGGATGTTATTCTAAAACAAAAAAAAGTGTTTGTTTTTTTCTTATTATTTTATTTAAAAGTTTTAACTTTCTCTGCCTCTGAAACAACTTTTCTGCTGATGTAATTAAGGCTGTGTGGGCGAGGAAAACTAATACTAACCAATAATATTATAGCCTAACATTCACAATCCAATCAAATTCGATAAATCAATAAGTCATATAGTAAGTCACCACTTTTACATACAAAATTGTTTCATTTGTAAATAAGTCACTTTGAATGTTTTGGGAAAGCCATTTAATGAATTGCTGTTCGCAGTTTTACTTCTGTGACCTGGTCTATTTCTGATTAATAGCAAAATAGTAAAAAGCAAAAATAAATAAAACAATCTTGGATAAACAAATAAAATTTTAACAGAATAATTCATGCAACTTTTTTTGTAACACTGTAATATTCTGCAAGGAAATCAGATTTAAACTTTAAATATATGCTGTTCTTTTGAACCTTCTACTCATCAAAGAATCCTAAACAAAAAATGTATCACGTTTTCCCACAAAAATTTTAAGTAGTATAACTGTTTCCAACATTGATGATCAAATCAGCTTATTAGTATGATTTATAAAGGATCATGTGACACTGAAGACTGGAGTAATGATGCTGAAAATTCAGCTTTGGTCACAAGAATAAATTACATTTTAAATATATATTAAAATAGAAAACGGCTATTTTAAATTGTAATAATATTTTATATCACAGTTTCACTGTATTTTTTATCAAATAAATGCAGTCTGTTAATTGATTTAAATCATATATATGATAATTTCCCTATTTGTGGCAGAACTAACCTCCTACTCTCTAAAAAACTGGTCTTTATTATTAAAACAAAAATCTTAATTTTAGGTAAATCTGAGCACAGCTGAAGTCAAACGTGGAAGTTTTACCTTGAAGAAGAGGAAGGTGGGAGCTGAAGTGATCTCATACTTCTCAGAAACCTCCGGGACTGCCTCTGCCTCCAGCTAGAGAGAGAGAGAGAGAGAGAACTACTTTACTAATGATTCTTTATAATTCACATTAATAAAACATCACACACATCAACATGTCAAACATAACATACGCGCTGACAGTTTATCTGGCTGTAAAAAACCCATTTATGACAGAAAAACACACACACAAAAACATTTCACATGAAATTGACATACAAATCTAAACTCCACTGCCACAGCTATGAAAAATGCTGGCAGCCAAACGTTTGGGCACACTTCATAATGAATTTGTTTTATGATGATGATTAAATGATTGAAATTACTTTTGTGGACACATAAAACTGTACCTAAAAATTAATTTCTTAAAATAACTCAAATTAAAAACAAAGAAAAATGATCCAATTCTGAACGTATTCTAAGGAATTCAACATCATTTATTCCATATAGATTATAAAAGGGCAGTTTTTGCTTGAATAACTCTTCTGCTCTGCTGACTGTGTGATGAAAGGCAGTATTAACCCTTAACAGAAGGAAAGATTTCTCTCTGCTGGTTTAAGGCCATGAGGAAGGTAAAGTCATTCAGAGCCTGAGGCATTTCAATGTGCTCCACTGGGAGCCGGAGCAGAGGGAGGAGAGCAGCTGGATCGGTGTTACTGGAGCTAGAGCCCAGTGCACACAGGAAAATTTGCAAGAATAATGGCCATTTTCAAACATGTATCAAACACAACATGCCATTTGCAGAAATGTCAAACAAAAAGAAAGATCCACCCAAAAACTCACACCATTGCTTGAGGCATATTTCAACTGGTTTAGATTTTAGGTCAAAATTGACTGTGCCAGAGTGTTATACACATTCATTTGAGATAAGAGAAAGCATTTAATAAAAAAATTACATCATAATTTAAAATTCGTATAAGAATGTAATATCAAATAACCACAGAAAAAATTAAATTTCTGGAAAAAAAAAAAATAATGAAGTCAAAGGCAAAGTCACGATCTTTTCTTTCCTTTTTGCGAAATCTATGAAATATTTCCCAGTAAAACGGACTCAGAAATGGGAAAAACCATAGGATGGGTCTTGATTTTAACCATCTATAATTGATTGGATCATTGGATTGGGAATAATTTATAATAAACAATGCAATATTCCATAAAAAAGTGACTTTAATAAAAAAACAAAAAAAAAAAAACAAACTTATCTTAAACCTGTTAAAATAAAAAAAAATTAAATGAAAATCCAATGCAGTTTATTTCTAATTACTATTTAATTATAATCATTTATGCATGCACTAAGTAATAGGTGTTGACATAAAAATAGACCTTAAAGGGGTCATATGACGTTGCTAAAAAATAACATTATTTGGTGTAATGAAATGTGTTTATGTGGTTTAAGGTTCAAAAAACACATTATTTTCCACATACTGTACATTATTGTTTCTCCTCTATGCCCCGCCTTTCTGAAACGCGTAGATTTTTACAAAGCTCATCGTTCTCAAAAGCGAGGTGTGCTCTGATTGGCCAGCTATCCAGTGCGTTTTGATTGGCCGAATTCCTCAAGCGTGTGACAGAAATGTTACGCCCCTTACATAACTGTCATGCCGTGTCCCGGTGCGAAACTTGTCTTGAAACGAGCTTTATTTTTAACCAATTCTGCTAATGATACAGAAACTACACATCACAATGGCATTTAACCACGATTTGCACAAATTAAGCATGCATGTTATTGGTGAAATGATTTACAGAATTGCTGTGAGGGTCAGTGGTCCCCATACCTTCACAAACATGGTGTGTTTGTGCTCTTTGGCTAATTCTGCCATCACATCGTTCATCTGTGAACACTGCGGAGCCCATGCTGCATGGAAATGGACAACGGTGAGGGACCTGGAAAGGACAGAGAAGGAATGAAGTTGAGCTTACAAGAAACCTGGATCACAGAAGCGGAGATCTAAACTTAGGGAGGATTTTTTTATTTTTTTTTTAAATACACATATAAAGCAAATACATGTAGATCTGAATTAGAGGTTTCATTTAAATGTGAATCTAGACCAGGGGTCTCCAAACTCGGTCCTGGAGGACCAGTGTCCTGCAGAGTTTAGCTTCAACCCTAATCATACACACCTGAACCAGCTAATCAAGATCTTCCTAGGTATACCTTACTTGAAACCTCCAGGCAAATGTGTTCAGGCAAGTTGGAGTTAGGCTAAACTCTGCAGGACGCCGGCCCTCCAGGACCGAGTTTGGAGAACCCTGCACTGAATCATTTAACTGTCTGTTTATAATGCTCCTCAGCAATGATACCAGATTAACAGGATCTACCAGTATTCAATGAAAAACCAAACTGAAACTAAAAGGGGGGGAGGAGAGTCCAATACCTATGCAATTTCGGATTTGACATACAGGTTTGGATTGACATGAGGGACAGAAGGATATATATAGTAAACAAGTCTAACTCAGCCTAAAGAGGTCTGATTATGAGAAAAGACCAATAGCCTACTATTCATAATAATAACAACAGACTTTGAGTGCAACCTCGTGAATTTCTCAAATGCTCCTAAAAAACAAATGGACAGATATTACAGACAGCTGAAACTGAATGCAATATTAAAACAATCAGTCCAAAATCATATGATCTAGATCATATTAATCCATCGATACAAATTTACATCACATCTGAGTTAATCTGAACAGGCCATCGCTTATTTCACTCTGTGACGAACTCTATAAACGTTTCATCCCCGTGTTAAATCAGTTACATATGTGTTCGAAATTAATTACATTTCATGACAGACTTGAAAAAGGATGAATTCTTCACTTACTTGCTGTTATTTTTTAATAATTCCTCGAACTGCTGCAGTGATGTCGCGTCCGTAAGGTTCGCCATACTGCCAGACATTACCAAGCGATCATCGAACACTCCATCAGGACACTGTACTGAAGCAAAGCATTACTAAACAATTTACGATATCACTACCATCGAACACAGACAGTTATGGGAGAAATATTGAGTTGAATATTAAAGACGTTGGTTAAATATATAAACATTTGAATTATATACATAGCATACTATGTTTTAAGTCACCTTTTCCGCGTTCTTCCATCTTTCTGAGGTGTTATGTACAGTATGTGGCAACAAATAACCTGAATTAGTACCTGTATCTTTCATTTGAATATTCTTCTTACAATTATTGCACAAAAGATTAAGACTTGGTATAGCGCATGAATCAAATACGGACTATTTTTATGATAGTTGTGTGTCCCTTTGTTACTTCTCAGTCCCACTTTAGTTATTTCACTTTATTTAAAGAAGAATGTTAACCGAAGGTTTAACAAACGTACATTGTAAAAATATTAAGAATGTGAATATAGCAAAAATATAACCAGCAGGGTTAACAATTTCACGTGTGGAAAAAAAGTACAATAAGGGTGAGACTGAGAGCAAACAATACATTTTTATTTTGAGTGAACTATTCCTTTAAATTACATTGGCTGACTCATTCGCGCTCAGTGCTTTCTCGTCGAATAGTAACACTCTATTTGACGTAGCCCCGCCTTCGTTAGCTCGTACTGTTCACTGATTGGTTGACGCAACTGTATGTCACTCATCTTGAACGATTCAGGAATTTATAATACGGAATAATAGCAGCCTATTATTGGGCATGAATAGTCGCACGGGATTTCTGCGGCTTTGTTTTGCTTTTCAAAACGGGCATGTTTAGAATTACTGTCTTTTTTAATTCTACAGATGCCTCAATGGTCGATGGAGAAATGTGCCCGCCTTTGACTGCTTAATACAATGGGGTTTTGACTTTGCGTATTGGTCCATATGGGCGAATTGTATTAATTCAACAAGTGCTCGGGCTTCAGTACTGTAAAATAATCAATGGATTGCATAAGTCCCATGCAGAATAAGAGAAGACATAGTGGAGACCTGGAACAGTGGCACAACCAGTCGGTAAATGGACTTTGATAAGCCTGAATAATTTTATAAACATGTTAAATAAATATGCATTAATGTTTCTGCCTGTCATATGTTTGACCTTCTGTGGCATTTGCACAGACTGTTGCCCTTTAAACAAAGAGTTATTACTTATTATTACTCTACATATATAAACACCCAGCTGATCATCACTGAAAATAGCTGTTATGATTTATAGAAACAGTGCACCATGGCATGACAGCTGCATTTGCTTCCACTGGCATCTTCTTACATAATCAAGCTATAAATAGTGTTAATCTTTTTGAATTTTACAGAAAAGGCAGTGTAATGGACTCGGAGGCTGTGTCCAGGTGGAATATGGTGCAGTAATGGACACGTGGGATACCCAAAATCACAGCCCTCAAAATGGACATGGTGCCAACATCCCCGGCATGGTATACGATCTCGCATATGCCTGTTCTTTGCCTAGTCGAAAATCCTTTTGTGATTTCTTGCATAATTTGGACAACATTTAGGATCCTAATGGGGATATTTCTTTTTTCTTGTAGGATTCCTAAAGCACATAAAATTAAGCGTTAGCGTTAGTTCTGGCAGGTCACGTGAGTCAAGCTTGCATCAGCTGATTCTCAGCTGATCACATCTACCTATAGGAATACGACACCTATCGCGGCATTCCTATATAAGCTCTATTCAGTATTATTCAGCTGCTTTTCAGCTTGCTCAGGAGCAAATTACCCTCCTCCATCCCCAGCTCCTCCTTTCGCCACAGTCAGGACTTGGCTTTCTGATATTCCTGGCTAATCAGACTCCTTTATCTTGAATAAAGTGTTACACTTAAATATCATTAAGTACATTAATGATATCTGCCTTGTTCTGTTCTGTTAACCCTAGGGGGGTTATTATTGCTGCTCTCCCTGCTCATTCATGACAGGCTGCATGGATGGGCAGGGAGGTTTTTGCCCAGAACAGAACCATACCGCCAAACCAAACTTTATGCTAAGTATCTATCATTTTGACGATAGTGGTCCTGACAGAAACAACAGTTAGATCTTTTCTGACACATAGTTCCAAATAGGATCAAATGTGGCTCTTGTAAATGTCAAAGAATTTAAAGAAACTTATGTTATCCCAATTTAATATACGTGCAATATCCAGTTGGTCTAAATAAATAAAAACTGTCTTTTTTCCTTTAGGATTAGTTCCAAGTTATGATTTATTTGTTGGACAGTGGCTCACTCTGTCTTTCTTCTTCCTGTCTTTCTTTTCCTTTTCATGTTTACAGTGTTGTGATGAACATGCAGATTGCTCTTATCTGATGTTCTTGTGTTTATGGAGCATGAGGAATGCAGGGGTTAAAGGTCACGGTCTATTAGGCAGTCTGTTTTATTGCACACCAATAGTTTTTTGCTTTTATTGAACTGATTGAAAACATTTCAAGGAGTTATCTCAGAACAATCAAATAACAATGATAAGAAGACATACAGATAAAAGATACAAATTGTGTTTATAGGTCACAAAAAAATAGGTCAAAAAAGTAAATAAAATACATATAACACAAAATGTCAGGCAAACACAGTTATGTTTAACATAATACTAAAAATGTACTAAAAGGTGTACTAAAAAAAGAAAGTAACAAACAACAAAATATTATAATAGCAAATAGTTTTTGTCTATAAAAAGTAATGTCTCCTTTTATATATAATTGTACAATCTGGTCTAATAAGGGTTACCTTGTGCAACCCAAAATACTGGTACTAAACTAATTTAAAGTCTGCCATAAAGTGACATTTTCAGGTCTTCTGCAGGTCTTAAAAAGTCTTAAAATTCACCCTTCCACAAATTAAGGCCTAAAAAGGTCTTAAAGGGGTAATATGATGCTGCTAAAAAGAACATTATTTTGTGTATTTGGTGTAATGAAATGTGTTTATGTGGTTCCAAAGAGAAAGGAAAAAATTAAATCGCATCATATGACCCCTTTAAATAGGAGCATTAAAGTTGTGGCATTACATGTTGCACACACTAGGGAAAAATAATATCTTCCTCTGTATCTTTGTTTTGTCTCAATACAAATATCTAAACATACTGAAATCAAGATTTGAACAAAACTAAGGGAGTTTATGCTTAAAACATCATTGATCACATCATGATGATCATTTTATTTGATTGATTGATAAAATGAATTAAAGTAATACAGATCTGTCAGAAGTTGTATTTTCAAACATTTAAGCATTGCTAATACAAGACATTTACATTTTAAAACTGTATTGATGTATTGTGCTCCATTTAATTTATTCCTTAAACCAAGGGTGTCAAACTCAATTCCTGGAGGCCCGGAGCCCTGCAGAGTTTAGATTCAACCCTAATTAAATGCACCTGATTCAGCTAATCAAGTCCTTCAGGCTTATTTGAAAACTATGTGATATGTGTGTTGGAGCAGGACTGGAACTAAACACTGCAGGGCTCCGGCCCTCCAGGAATTGAGTTTGACACCCCTGCCTTAAATTGTCTTTACTTGGTCTTAAAAAGGTCTTAAAAAGTCTGAAATGTACCTTCATAAAAAATGCAGAAACCCTGATTTTACATTTAAAGTAACATTGTTTTGTTTAGTACTGATCCTTAGCTAAAAATACAATTTATAGTAATCATATTATACAATGTCCATTTAATGATGCATATCTATTTGCAAATCTTTATTTTAACCTCTAATGTGTTTGGGATTGTCAGCAGGTGTTACCCGCCCCAGGACGTGGGGCAGGACAGTATTGCCCCAGGTGTAAGGCAGGTGAACCTGTGAGTAATATTTGATATTTTGTGGGTTACAAATAATATTCCCCTCTTCTTTTATGTCAAAAGGGTGTGTGGATAACATGCCACTCTTTATAAAATGACACATTCATAAATTTTTTTTGGGTGCAATTTTTACACACACACACACACACGTTTACTTAGCTATCTAAATGGGAACATTTAACCTAACCCTACCCCTCACAGAAAACTTTCTGCATTTTTACAGTTTCAAAAAAACTTTGTTTAGTGTTTTTACAAATGAGGACGTCCCCAAATGGAGGTTTTTGGCGATTTTTGTCAGGTTTTGCTAACATTTGGGTACAAATATGTCCCAAAATATGGTTAAGTAGGTACACACACACTCAATCTACCCACAGCACTTTCACCGGACGGTGTTGATACAAGCAATATGATTGCCTTTGGAAATTGTGTACTTCCTGCAAATCAATATTTATTCATGACGAGAAAGAAATGCACATTTTGAACGGTTTTCCCGCAGGCCAGAGTACCTACCGGCTGATCTAACCACTACGACACGGGAACAGTCAGCATATATGAATATCAATTTGCGTAGGGTTAATGAACATTATACATACAATGCATTGAGTGTTGAGTGAAGTTGACCTGTGTCACATCAATGTTTCTCTCTGTCTCTGACAGGGCCATATAAACCACATCATGAGGTATTGATCAGCATTGCCGATGGCTCCTGGAGAAAATTAATCGACTGAATAAACGGCCGATATAGAGAAGCAATCTGCAGTTTATCCGTACCGTGTGGGGTTTTCCCGCATGCTTTGTGCCTTCCAAGCGTTTCCCTAATCTCCTCACCTAGTACTGTTTTACCTACAGTAGTATCTATTACTGTTTTGTAGCAATGAGGTTTACATTACCAAGAACACTCCGGTGATAGAAAAGGCAATGGTCAATGGTGTAGATCACACTTTTAGTGTGTTGCATGGTCTTGATTTTCAAGAAGGAATTACTGCTGTAAATGCAATGTTAGCAAAGTCTGTGAAACCATATGCACAAATAATCTCTTTTATACTATTTTTCTAAAAAAAATTAAATAATGAAATAATTTTCAGGATTAAATGTTATTTCACAATTAGATTTTTTTTTTTTAAGAATGTTCATGGTTTAACATTTCAGTTGCGTTTAATTTGGTAGTTAAATGTCCAGAAATGTATGTCAGGTTCATTTTAAGGTTATATATTGTTAGTGTTGTTTTTTTTTCCTTTGTAGAAGACATTTCAGTGTATTCAGTGATTTAACCTATTTGTATCCTTTATAAACCAATCCAGAATATTTTGCATAAAGTCTAATTTTATTAAAGCTTTTGTGTTAATTTTTTTCTCAGGCTCTTTAAAAAAATCAATACATGCTGTTCCCAAAAGTGCACACAAGATGGCAGTGTCCCATTCCGTTTTTCTTCTAGGGGGACTTGGGCAAGTCAGCAGTGTTTGAAATCCAGCTTTTAAATATTTGGTACCACCATACATCTGTTTCTCCGTTTAATTCATTTGAAATATCCCTGGTGTTTTATTGAAATCAAAACATTAAGTTTTACAATACATGCCTTATTTTTATCGGTCCACTTCATCATTCCACGCCGCGTGCATATATAACCCACCCTTAACGTAC